CGCCACACCGAAAAATTTTACTGCCAGTAGGTTTCTATTTTTTTATTTTTTTTGGGACCAACCGAGACCCCCTAACGTGTTTTCTCGTAGGAATTGGTATAAACCTGGTCGAAACTAATCAAAATTGGCCAAAAACAACCAGGCCAAGATAAATTACCGCCACGGACGACGGTGCCATTGTCGAAGCACGGTGGTGCCATTGTGCCTGAACTCTGAAATTGGTTAGAAAAAGGATTTCTAACACTAATTTTGGATTTTTGGATATTTTTAGGTACGCAAAACGTGTTTTAATCTCCGTAAGAAAATTCAAAAAATTCGGGGACCACTAGTAGGCGCAGTAGAAAGTGCGGTATTTCGAACATCGATTCGGGTAAGAATCTCTCACCTTACTTTCTGTTATGGAATTGAAGTTTAATGATCGATAATATGGTATTTTATGTAATTTAAAAAACTTCAAAAATAATTATACGTTATTAATGGAGCCGGAACCAGTTAGTCATTTATTATTTATCCTATTTAACTGATTGTTTGATTTTACAGTTTTAAATGCATGATAATATACTGGAATTGAAAAAATAATTCAGTTGCTTCTCTTGCATGATTTACGGTTAATTTGTAAAATTGAAAATTAAAATATAAACGGAAAATTAATTAGATAAGTAAATGAGTGAATGGTTGTTTTACTAGATATCTTGGAAGATGGTTGACAGATCGGGTACTTAGGTAACTCTACCGTGAACGTTACTTCATACTGGACGGAGTATCGAGGAATGGTATCTTTGACACTCATACTGAACGGGGTATCAAGGAATGGTATCTTTGGCACTCATACTAGACGGGGTATGGGGACGGCTCGATTCACCCTCATACTGTACGGGGTATTGACGGATAGTATTTTTAGAGTTCATACCGGACGGGGTATTGGGATGGTCGGTTATTTGATAAGGTTTGATATTGGTTCACGCATAGTGGGACATCCTTGTAGACTCTCAGAGATACCAGTAAGCAAATAAAAATAAAAAGTTGTTGTTCTTACCACTTGAATATGAAATTATGATGTTGGTTGTGTTATTACCTCTATAGATCGGTTTTGAAAATCTCGCGACGGTAAGTATGTAATAAATATTTTTATTTATGATAAATAAATTTACTTAATTTAAAAGCTCCATTAGTTATTTTTATGATTTTTACGAACCTTTAATTTCAGTATCAGTGAGTAGTGTGATATTTTTACTGAACTAATATAACTCACCCTTTTATTAACTATTTCAGTTCAAGATGACCAATATCCAGATTCCGATGAATAAGAAGGTTGTGAATAGTTCACTACGCGGACTCCCTTCAAAAGTTAGTAAATGTCCTACTAATATGCTCAGTTGTTTACTTTTCGTTTATTTTTTTTATTTTTGTTTGTTATTTTAAAATGCATATTCTCGTAACCCTATTTAGTATTTTGAACTATTGTGTAAGGTATGTAAATTCTAACTCTATTATTTCACTTCCGTATTCAATTTATAATTTTATTTCCTTTTAAGTTCCTGATCTTTGCATATTTTCAATTAAAAAAATAAAAGATTATTTATATATATAGGTGAAGTTAAATTTAATTTTTTAATTTTAAATCTGAAACTGACTCGTTTTAAAACAAGCGAAATTCTATCTTAAACTCAAATGTAAGCTATAAAATCAACATGGAATAGAGTAGAGCGGGTCGACTCGGATTCAACTGAGTCATAAATTTCTTCAACATCCCTAATTTTTCTACTTTTCTAGGGCAACTGTTCTAAATTAAATGTGTGTATTTAGTAAATGTTAAGCTGCAAAGAACTACAAGGTGAAAACATATTTTCTCCAGTAAATAGGTTCTAATTTCTACAAGTGATTTGATACAAACTGTGACTGGAATTTCTCCTCTACAAAGTGTCATATCATAATTTTCTAAAGAAAAATTAAGCTAGAAAATAGTCCATTGAATAGCCTCAATAAGACAAGACATATATATTTACATATATATATATATATATACGTGGGTGTATACACACACACACACACACACACATATATATATATGAGGAGAAGATTTGCTCTCCTGCTGGATGTATAGGAGCATAGTCAGTTTTCTAATAATTTATTCACTACTATAAAATAGTCAACCCAGGATTCTGTCATGGGAAAAGGGTTGACCTTTTAATTGGAGGCTCACATCAATAACTAACTCACTTCCACTGCATTTTAGACTCGAGTCAATTCATCATCCATTATATAATTATGTGTATAGGATCTGTTTAATGCATTCTTGTTATAGTTTTATTAGATTCACTCATCGCTTTCAAATGCTCTACATACATATACATATATATATTATATGTACGTATATACCTTAATAGTCAAATATCTTCTAGTACAGCACTAATTGCTGCATATTATCATTTTCTTCAACTGTATTAGCGTTACTCAAAGAAAAATATGGACTATCTATTTTCTCTTGTAAAGTATATAGCACATACGTATAGTGTTTTAAGATAAAGTAGGGAATTGGATTGAAGGTCAAGTAAATCTGTTAAAGAGAGTTTTACGTTGTCTTAATCATATGCTCTTGGTTCATAGGATTATTCTATGAAGAAGTTTCTAAATTTATGTGAGATTCATTTTTTGAAGTGAATTATTCATCGAGTAATTCGTAGATAAATGGAATAGTAGCAGAGCATTTAGCCTTTTCAATTAACAAAAGTCTTGGCAGTAAATTTTTTCAATCGATGTGGATGATTGCCAGATCAGGAAGCCTAGTAGGCAAGTGAAAGGTTGACTAGAGAATCACCAGCACTAAGTTACTAACACCAGGCATATATCTATGCACTTATCTGCACTATGGTGTTTGCTCTACGATCATGGCGTCTCGTTCGATGGAGAGAAGAATTCATAATTCACGAAGAGGGGAAAAAAAAAAAAAGTCCCGCCTAAAGGGGAAAATGCCCTGCTTTAGGCAGGCAACGAAGGGGGACAAAATTCTAGTACGCGGTTTCGGTTGGGGGGAAAATCTCCTATTTATCTAATTTAAGGTGTTTGAAATCCAAATGGGTAGTGGTGATGCTCCCTGTTGTGATGTAAGAGGGTTGCAAAACAGTGAGAAAAAAATATATATAGAAATCATTTTGGTGGGTGAAAAAGAAAAAAAAAGTGTTGATATGGTGGGTTTTAAATGGAATTAATGAGGTTTTGAGGGGGTGAAGAAGGTAAATTGCATGAATTCCACAACAGAGGAGAGCACATATAAAGTGGGGAGAGCACTTGGCAGGTGCTTAAAAGAGGAATTGAGAGAGTTTAGTGACTATATATGAAGGGAAGAAAGAGAATACTATTGGTTTATCCATTTGTTTGGGCAAAAAATTTACTTGGACTTTTTGTGATTATGTACAGCAAAAGTCAACCACTGACATACACAAAAGTGATACTGATTATAATGAATAACAGTTTGCAGATTGGATGCAACATGGGTGCAATTGCAATTGGCCTGGATTCACACATGGTATATGAACAGTGCTAAATCTCTCATTTGAACGAAACACGTTTTGGTGCCACTTTCATATTATCATCAACAGTTGGGGAGCTTTATTGGAGATAATTCCAACATCACGATGAATGTTTCCCTCATACTATAATGGAATTTTGGGAAAATTACTCTCACCCTTCTGCTCGTATACTTGAGAAATTGACCAGTAATGTATAATTCCAAACAGAATGTAATGTCATTTATCACCATTGCTTCTATTGCCTCTTTCAGTTTGCTCCCACCTATTAAACCCCCCACCAAAGACAGAATTTGGTTGGGCACGGAATGGCGATAAACGAAAGATAACATTTAGATAATAGTTGGAACGAATGAAAATTTTTACCAAACGAATTTTAAATTGTGTTTGGAAGAAATCTAGAAATTTAAGTAACATTCGTTTGTTAAATGATGGGAAAAATAAAAAA